GTGGGTATTGAGCCGGGTCACCGTTATTGATGCGTAACTCTTCATGGTTTCGACGGCTAAGCTCTTCTTGGTCTTGACAGATGAGCTCTTCTGTAGAGCTGTATCCACAGTTGGATGTCTCCTCATCATAATCCTCTGAAAGAGATGGCTGGCTGTAGCTATATCGTCTCATCTTAATCTTTCGTCCTGAAATAAATAGCAATCATAAACACATAGACATAGCTAGCATAAACTCATAATAATAGCAAGCATAAACACATAAAATTTGAAATTAAAACCGCAACATTCATTCTTGGTCAAGATCATACAAAGTACACACATAGAAACACAGCTATTACATAAGACTTCTTGAAATACAGAGAAACATGGAAACAATTGAAACAAGCTAAACCTTGAAAGACAGAGAAACATGGAAACAATTGAAAAAAGCTAATCCTTGAAATAGAGAGAAACATGGAAACGGTTGAAGCAAGCTAATCCTTGAAATAGAGAGAAAGTAGCATATTCTTGACACTTTCTTCAGCCTCAGTCAGTTGATTCTTGGCTAGAAGTGTGTCTAGAATCGCAAGTTTGGATAGTTTCTCCTGCATGAAGAGATTCTCCTTCTTCATCTCCCAAACGGTCTGACACTCCGATAGGGACCTCACTGGTGCTGAATTATTTCTTTTAGCTTTCGCCGCCTTGATACCTCCAGGACGGACCTCAGGATCACCAACAGTGCTGCTTGAAGCTTCTGAACCTGCCTCTTTTCGCTTTGAATTCCCACTACGTTTAGGAGTGTTAAGGCTGATCCATTTCTGCTCGTACTTCAACACACACCAAGCATGGTCAAGAGTGAATTTTGTCTTGTGATCGGCAAAGTAGATGTCTTTGGCCAGCTTGAGGAGATCATTGTCATTCTGACCAGAACCTAGCTGCCTCTCAGCTGTTGCGTATGCAGCACAGAATTTGTTGGTGTAGTCATTGATTTTGTGCCACCTTTCCTTACAATGGAGATGCTCCCGTGCTTCACCACTCGCTTGCGCATGGGGACTTTCCGCATAGAACTCACCAACACATTTCCAGAATGTCCCTGATTTTTGATCAACTCCAACTACCGCATCCTTAGATGTGTTTAGCTACCCACTTATTAAAACCTCGTCATCGGCTGGACTCCAGTTTTTTCGCTGAACAGAGGCAACTGGTGGATTTTTGGGTGCAAGTGGAGCGTGTGGTGGTTGCGAACTAAAATCAGGGATGTCGGATGCTCCAAAGTGTAGAGGAGAACCATAACTTTCATAAGGGAAGGTCTGGTTGTTAAGAAAGCCGACGAAACTAGGACAAGGAGACTGGCTATATGGATTCAAGGGATCCCTGGAATCCATTGCGCTTTGCAGAGATAGAAGATATGAAGAGATGAAGATAGAAAGAGAGGAAGAGAGGAAGAGATGAAGAGATGAAGAGATTTGTGTAAAACAAAGAAAGCTTGATGATGAACTTATAGGTGAAAAGGTTCGACCTAATAAGTTACGATCTTAAATGCCTAACCATAAACTACCAGGGTCTAATCAGAACTTATTACAGTCCTAACAACAAAAAAGAACTTTTCATTTTAGTTCAAAACTAACTAGAACAACAGACAACCAAACTAATAACTTGTATTCAAACAAGTTCCCATTTGCACATCAAACAACAACAAAGCTTTTATATGTCAACCAAACAAACATATCTCCACGCAAACGAGCTTAAATGTCAACCAAACAAACAAACTTATAGTTGAACCAAACTTAAATGTCCACACGGTACACTATCACAAAACACAGTACGCTATCTTAAATGTACACAGCTACTTAATCAATTTAAGCCGTTGTATAACTCTTTCTTTCACAACTGTATCAAGTCACAAAGAAGACAGAAGTAATCAAGTCGATTTAAACTACTACTCTATCAGCTAAACAAGATGAGACATTACAGAGAAGACATTAAAAAGAAGACACTTCGAAGAAGACATTACAAAGAAGACACAAGGAAGGAAGTCAATGAAAACTACTAATCAGCTGATTAATCAATTAACTGCTCAACAAAAAGAGGATTCTACTGTGTTTTACTCAAGTTGAATTCCCTAATAAACCGATGAAATTATCATGCATAGCTTCAGTTCTTTAGCCTAATTAATTAACCCTAATTAATCAACTGAGTAAGACAAACCTGTTTCGATTCAGAGCACAAGTGAGGCGAGATCCGTGTGGAGTCGGCGGGTAAAGACGGTTCTGGTCGAAATCTCCGTCCAGAGAAAGAGAATATGGAGATGATGGGAAACGCCGCCGGAACTCTTTTCCCTACAAACAAACATGCAAAAACGAATCGAACACAAATAAAGTATTAGATCGACTTTTATTCCGAAAATATGAACACAAACCCATATCGATTATCGACAATTAAATTCGAAAATCACAAAAGGGAGGTACGAGAAGGAATACGAACCTCATGGGTGTTCGATTCGACGTTTTTGGTACTCGATTAAACGACAAATCGGTGTGGATTTCGGCAATCTTCTTACCCTAGAGATATCGCCTTGTTGAGAGAGAGAGAAGAAGGAGACGAAGTCAATGAATACGGACCAAACTCGACTTTCCTCTTACCTTCGGTTAACCTATCCGATGCTGCCACGTACACCAAGGACTTCGACGAAAACTTCTTATTGTGTAAACGTTTCTCCTATTCTACTCCATTTTTCATTTTCTTTTGGGCCAATATTGGGTCGGGACTTTTGCTAAGAAGTGCCGATAAACATGCTCTTAGAGCAATATTATTGGTAGGACTAATTTTAAAGTCCTTAAATTATTTTATCATTAGTTTTATGTTAAGAGACAAAGGTAAGAGCAATGCCGGTCTTGAGATATTTCGGGTCCAATACGAAACTAAAAATATGAACTCTAAATGATAACTAAAGAATTAAATATTACAATATCTTTAATACTAGTAAAAGTTTGTTAGTTCTAAAATTTATCTTTCTATTTTTGTAGTTAAAATAAGGAAAAATAACTAAAATTTTTTATTATGTTACATGTAGTTGTTATGTTACATTTTTTATTAGACTCCATTTTATATTTCATATGCTAACAAAGTAACAATAAAAACTGTAAGAAAATTAAGCCATAAATTTTTAAAAATTTTAGGCCCCATACAAATGTATCTTGAGTATGTGCTCAAGGCTAGACCTGGGTAAGAGACAATCCAAAAATGTAAATTATTGGTAAGACTTTTTGTATTTCTTTTACACTTTCGAACAAAGGGTGTTATATTAAACGTTTGTGGAAGATATACTAGTATCAAAGAGTGGCCTGGTGGTAAGAGGTTGTTGATGGGCTGTTGTTCCCAGGTTTCAATGGCGGTAGGCACATATTGGTGTTTTCTATTTATTTTTCTCTTTTTAATAATGTCAGAAACGTAAATAAGTTACTTTCTTCCCCCAATTTTTTTAGGGGTTTCGACAATTCGACAACTCAAGCTATTTTCATGGCCGCCAACTTCAGATTTCTCATAAATCATCAATTTCTTAGGCGATTTCGTATAGTTTAGGTTCCAGTTCCATTAAACATCATCAAATCTATCATTAAACCACGATTTTGAGCATTCAAAACTTTGAAGAAAAAAATAGTTGCTAGCTCCGATTTTTTTTCCAACTATGGTGAAATCGCTACGCCCACCACGGCCAAGCGTCTCGACGGCGCATAATCGTCTGATTTGGCCGAGTATTCGAACAGAGTAAACTTATCTCATTACGCCACGTGCTTCTTAAGGACTAAGTCGAAAAGTTCTTAACTAACCCACATCCTTAACTTTTTCTCTAATTTTGATTTATTTTTTGAGTCATTATTACTAAGCAATTTCACTAAGAAGCACCGATAATGTTGGTCTTATACTCGTAACCTGGTATTAAAGCTTGAAACTTTGTACACGCGATATTGTAATCCAAGTTATAAATGTCCAATGCGTGTCTCCCTTATAAGTCAACATTAGCTAGAAACATAGAACGAATAAGTCTACATACACACGTTATACACTGGATCACCTTTAATTGCACAAATTACTAGGCACATACGTTTAGCTAATTATGCAATCATCTATAAATGGGCGACAAATTTCTTTATCCTCGGAAGTTCGGAATGGTTTGTTTTGAAACCTATGCATAAACGCAGAGCCGAATCTATAACTTAGAAAGCCATAAATAATTGTAAGTTTGATCCTAATATATTTTTAACAATTTAGAGGTCGTGGTGCGATCTGTGTGTAAAATTTTTTTCTAAAAATTTATTCTCTCTCTCAAAAATATAAAGTTTTGTAAAAGTTTGAGATTAAATCGCTATTTTATCTGCCTATGCCATAGCCAACTCGATAACCGCCATCTCTGTACTCCCAAAATGTTGTCTTTCGTTAAATAGCAAGAAAAAGCTCATAACTACTGGAACTGATTTTCAATTTTTGATTGTTAACACTTATTAAAACACTGTATTACAAGTATACAAGTGCTTATACTGGTTACTTGGTAATAACTCTTGTAATTTTGTGTACGTGATATTTTAAACGGAGAGAAGTTATAAATTAAACATTACCTAGCAGGCTAGAACGAACAAGTGTTGCATTGGATCATGCATCTTTAATTGCATAAATTACTAGCCACATACGTTTAGCTAATTATGGCAATTATCTGAATCGGTTACCAATATTCTTTAGTTATCGGAAATACGCCATAGTTTAATTCTGGAAACCTAGCTATGCATAACCGCCATATCAAATCTGCCATAGATTCAAGAGGAAAACCAATGTACATATTTAAAAGGCTATCGACGCATTAAATTCATTATGTCGGATTATATACGATTGACACAACGTTTTCACTGCTAAATATCATGGGAAATATTAAAATAGTGAACCATGTGAAATGAACATGATGATAAACATTAATACATAACGACGATAGCTTATACACACGTTACACAGTCCACATAATATTGTTTTTAACTTAAACTAAGACGGCCGGATACACTTAAAAGAAACATAATTAAACGAAAACATCAAGCTAAGACTTGGGGCATCCCCTTTTTACACTTATTAGAGATATCATAACCATCTAGAATATTTTTTAAAACCCTAAAGAAAACACAATTATTCTTATAAGGCCTATTTTTTTATTAGTAATTCCATACGCAACCAAGTCCACCACTAAGCAGACCCGCCTTTGTCTCGTTCTCTTCCGCCATTGTCGGTGGCCAGTTGTTCATCTCGGTGCCACCGTGGGAAGAGGGCAGATTAAGGGAGGGGGTCATGGTCGATGCAGAAGACGACCCAAAGTATGGAAAGTGATTGAAGTTTTCTTGGAACGACCTTATGTTAGATAGATTTGAGATGTTTCTAGAGACAAAACGAGGAAAAGGGTCAAACCCAGGCGGCGTAGGCGGTAGGAGATGGTTGAATGAGTCAACGTTAACATCTAAGCCTAAGGCAGTAGTAGTAGTGGCAGTGGAGAAACAGGACACGTGCTCGGTTATCGCAGTGGCTGTGAGAGTTGTATTGGTGCGACTACTGTTGTATGAGTAGCCGCTATCGGTGTAGCCGAGTGTTGTGGTGAGGTCAAAGAGAGGAGGGAGTGAGACGGAGGAAGGAGAGCTTGGTTGCTCACGGTAGTTTGTGGAGATGGTTGAGGGTACTTTCGTCTTTTTAGACCCACCAGTACTGCTGCCTACGCTAGCACTTGCTCCTGCCCCGGAGATTCCGGTATTGGCTAAACCTGTTTTCTTGAAAACCCTAGAGATTACCCATTCGTCCTGAGGGAGCAAAAGGAAATTTGTGAGAATATCATTTATTTAACGATGAGAAAGTCAACGTTAGATCTTGGGTATATTAAGAGTGAAGATAAAAAACCATGGTGGAAAAGCGTGCATTCATGGAATGTACATCTATTATTAGAATGGACATTAATACCTGTTGATTAATTTTTTTAATTAAAAGAGAAGGGTCCCTTAAAAGATTGCTGAAAATTTAATATATCAGAAAATCCTGAAGATATAGCCATATAGGTCAGAAAATCCTGAAGATGGGTTACATTGGATTTGGGTTTTGCATTGAGCTTTCCAAAACTAGGATGTATTTATTTTTTATTTTGTCAAAATATTAAAATAAAATTCATGCTTTAAGAAAACACCATTATGATTAAAATCCCAAAAATAAAAACAGCAGATCTTTCTGTTTTATGATCCATGATGGTCTCACTATAACCCTAATAAATACCAATAAGCTTTTTCAGCCATCAGTATTAAATGCAGAAAAAGCAAAAAAAAAAGAACTAAACGTCACCGAGTATGTCATATTCTTTTTTTTTTGAATAAAGAGTATGTCATATTCTTGAAAACAAAAAAAAATAAAAAGCAAAAGATTATTATTCATTTATCAGAGATAAAAAGCTTTCAGATTAATTAAAATACCTTAGAGCTTCTGGAGATGAAATGGTATGAGAATTTGCCTTCAAGACGATATTCATGCATAACCCAATTAGTCTTCTCTCCTTTAGGGGCTCTTCCTTTGTAGAAGACAAGAGTCTTCTTCATCCCAACAAGTGCACAAGTCTTTGAACTAAAAATCTCTCGGTCTTTTCCGGTAGCTTTCCAGTAACCAGCCTCCGTTGCTCTGTTCGTTCTCAGTCCTGTCGGATATTTCCGGTCACGTAGGCTAAAAAAGTACCATTCTTTCTCTCCCATCTTAGCTTTCTCTGTAAAAGTCATTTGAGAGTGGTCGAACTAATTAAAACTAAAGTTTCAAGAAGAAAATTACAAGAAACGTAGGTTAGTATGTTAAGTTGTTTGGTTTTCTCTTACCGGGAAGTTGCCAAGGCTCGCACTTGTTCAGATCAACCTCTGCAATGGCACGGCTTGAGAAGCAACCGTCGAGGACCTTGCGGAGGAGGTAATGGGTGATGAGTTCTTCATCCGTGGGATGAAATCTGAAACCTGGCGGAAGATATTGGCTGTCTCCACCGTGGTCATAGTGGTAAAGTGGAATTTCCATGAAGAAATTATGTTAAAACTTTTGGGAGAGAAATATTTAACCCTAAGGAGACACAAAGTGTTTTGAAGGGGAGGGGATACACGGATATAATATAATGGATATTGGATGGTTCTTGAGTGAGGATGTGGTTATAATGTGGATGATATTTTTATTTTGTTTATTAGTATATTTTACTCATTGGGATTTGATAGAACAAAAACGGCGAAATAGATGGAGTTTTTTGTAGTTAAATTGACAAAAAAAAAGATCGTAGGGACAATTATTGTAATAAAAAGACAGGTACGTCTATTCTCTCATAGGAATCTGTGGTTTTCTCTGCCCTGTCTTGTAATAATAAGAGAGCAAAGCCAAAAGTACCTTATTAATCTACATCAATTTAACTAGTTTATCTATATATTTTGTTTTACAGGTCGAGATTTTTTAGTTAAACGAATTAAAAACCCATATTAATCATGACGCGTTTGTATTTTTATATTATCTGAGTATGCGTGCGTGCGTGAGAAAAAGTGCAGTGGTATTCCCTGTCAGTGATGAAAATATAAGAAAGGATGCAGATTATATCTGTTTTTTTATTAGTCTTTTTCTGAAACACATTTTGATCTATTATCTTGTTTTTTTGGAGTTTTAGGGATTTAAACCTCTAACTATTTTAAATAGGAAAAAATATTCAACTAAAATTTTATGTTTTTAAACCTTGAATTATTAAACAGTTACTACCGTTTCGTTAACTTTTCGTTATCAAAATCGTTTTTCTTAAGGAGACCCGTAATTTGAAATACTGCATTTCATGTAATTTCAAAAACGTCACAAAATTCTTATCATCAATATATATTTTATTGATTTAAACCTCTAATTGTTTTAAATCGGATGGAAAACCCTCAACTAAAACTTTATGTTTTTAAACCCTCAACTATTAAAACTTTAATGTTTTTAACCCTTATAAACAGAGTCATATTTTCTGAACGGAAAACTGTTAAATTGAAACACAGAAGTTCACATAATCATATAAACGACATGAAATGTTTAAACCCCTATATCAATGGGCAATAACAATCACAATTTATCTTCAAATAATAAAATAGAGTTATTTTTCCTCTTCGTCGAAGGTGAGATAAGTAAAAGAAATTGTGTTGTATCTAATTATAGGCTATGATTATATGACATTTTTGACGATCTATTTTAAGAGTAAAATATATTTATTTTGTTTCCACCTAATATTTAGCCAATCAAGTGAAAAAGTTCCACTTGCTTTTTGGCTAGTTATTGTTAAAACATAATAAAAAAATTTATTTTCTCCCTCTTAGTTTATGCAGAGAATATGTGTTATGTTCGCTTTGTATTATTTTCACCTTTTATTTTTCTCTATTTTTCACCTATTTCTTTTACTCTGTATTACGTTAGTGATACCGAGTCAAACCCCTATTTCTTCCTCTCCTGTTCATTTACTTAACATTTCTTTTTATATTTGAGGTTGAAATTTGATTGTCATTGTCCATTAGTATATGGGGTTTAAACATTTCAAATCGTTTATATGATTACATCAAACTCTTCTTTTTTTAATACATGAAACTCTCTGTTCCAGTTTAACGGTTTCTCAGTCAGAAAATATAACTTTGTTTATAGAGGGTTAAAAGCATTAAAAGTTTAATAATTGACGGTTTAAAAACATAAAGTTTTAATTGGGATTTTTGCATCCTATTTAAAATAGTTGGAGGTTTAAATCACTAAAATATATATTGATGATAAGAACTTCGTGTCGTTTATGAAATTACATGAAACATGGTGTTTCGATTTAACTGATCTTCGTTAAGGAAAAATGATTTTGATAACGGAATGTTAACAGCATTAACGATTTAATAGTTGGAGGTTTAAAAACATAAAATTTTATTTAGAGATTTTTTATTCGATTTAAAAATAGTTAGAGGTTTAAATCACTAAAAACTCTTCTTCTTTTTATTACTATGCGTTTGGGGAAAGGGAACCATATACACTAGTTATTTGAACAATAAAGAGTTTTCATTTTATTTTAATTAAAAGTTGGATATTATATTGATAAGGCTGTTTCAAATCTTGCAGTGTCAGCATAGTACATGATTAAATTATCAAAAAAATTGACAGAGACTTCGTTACTACACGCCACCACCTTCTCTACCTTTCACCTCTCTCTGTCTTTTTTATCTTAGATTTTGTTTTCATTTCCCATTTTCTTTTGTCATGTGATAGGAGTTGTAATAGTTTATTAGCTTCAAGTTCGTAGGATCAGCAGAAAACAAGTTCCATGTAATTATTTTTGAGTTTTATGAATATGGTATTAATGCAAAATTGAACAATAATTGAACTAAACATTTACAGACTTGTATACCAAATCAAATACATTGCTGCAGCTTGCAGGTTTTTTAGGTTTGTTTAGTTATACTCTTTTAACCTGGAATACTTTCGTACATGTTTTAGGGCAGTTCATCACAATTTCCTTTTATTGTCATTATTAGTAGTACTAGTTTTTATGAAAAAGAATCTTTTTTCTACAAAAAAAAAATTCTCGACACAAAGGTTAAAAGAAAACGGCGATGGATTGCACGTTAAAGAAGATATTTGATAAGAGAGAGTTGGGTTCATTCAAAATAGTGAGCCCAATTTATCGGTACAAACGCCTGGGTGCGCGCAAGATCAAATTTTGACAAAGGGAACCACAATATGTCACAGAACTTTAAAAATTAGATTATCTCCAAAAAAATTTTGTAACTTCAAATATAAAGTTTTTTAATTTAAAAAAAATATTTCGAAACTTCAAAATTTGAAAATTTGAGGAGAAAAACTTCACATTTGAGTTTCAATATTCAGAACTTTAAATTTGAAGTTTCATCTTTTCAATTGCATTTTGGTCTTTACAATTATAAATAAAATTTATAGATCATAAATGTTTTCTAGTTTATCGTTTTAATTCTTAAAAATTTTTATAGCTCAATATTTCAAATTATTTTTTATTTTTTTTATAAATGTAGGTTTTAGACATAAAACTAAATAAAAAAATTATAAGAAAATTTAAATCATTTACTTGTAGTTTAGTATTTAAAAATAAACTAAAATTAGACAAAAAGAATGTGGTATTATGCTTGTAGTTAACATATACTTATATATTTTTATTTATAATTTTATATTTTAGTGTAAGATTTTATTTATTAATATTGTTGTATGACAAATATAAGGACCTTAATGTAAAATATAAATAATTTTAAAGTTAAGTTTAAAGTTTTTTTTTTTGAAAAGAACATCTTAAAACTTCAAATATAAATTTTAGAAAAAAAATCTTTTTGAAGATGCTCTTAGAATAGCTAACGTATGATTTTCTATTTGTTGCGTTTTCCTATAAAACTGTTTAGGGAAAATAAACAAAATGGAAACTCTTTCTCGTACATGGAACTCCACATTTAAAAAAATATTTTGTATTCATATTATTTTTATTTTCTAATTAATAAAAATAAGGACACAACCAGTAGAGTTGATTAAAAATTTGGGGTGTATACGGGAATTTAGTTACCAAAAATCTGAAGATTAATCATTAAGTATACGGAAATTTATTTTGAACTTTTAGAAAATATATACTAATTCATACTATGTTTGTTGTATACAAAATATGCTAGTTCATATGGTTAGTGAAAATTCATTGAATTTTTTACTTTCTAAAACACATTATAACTTATGAATTGCACATATAGACACATCCTGCTGGTCAGATCCTTTATGATTGCATACTGTCTTTCATGTCCTCAAACTAGACCAACTCTTATTTAACTAAAGCTAGCCTAACCAGAGAAGTAACCGAGAATTTTACAATTAAAAGATTCTTATTTCTCGAAAAGTCACAAGTTCACATATTCTTTCTGTATTCTTGATTTCAAAATTCAGATCCACTTTCCTTTTTCCCAAATTCCCAACCCTAATTTCGAATCTCTCTCATTTTTCCTTCATCGTTCATTGAAGCACACCATGAACCCAGATTGTTCGATGTTGTTTTGTTTCCATGATTCCCTCTCTAGCTTTCTACCCATCTTCTTCCGCTTCTCGATAACTCTCAGAAAACCCTTTTAATATCTTTAAATGAACCAAGACAAAATCGAAGCCAAAGAAGAAATCCAAGAATTTTGAGGAACCAACCCCATTGCAAACCGCAGCAGGAGGTTTTGTTCTCCCTCCGTTTCTTTTTTTTCTGAAAGTATGGTTTTGTATATTGGTTTAATCAATCCGTAGGCTCAGTTTGCAGCTATAGACAATTGCCACTGATTTCCAGAGAATCTCCAAGATCCACGATCGTGTCTTTGTAGGCGATTCTTGTCTCGCCACCGATGTCCAAACACTCTAAGAAAACTTCCAGAAGTTTTATTTGCTTCATCTCTTTGAATCTGCTTCAAAAGGCATGGTCTTTGTGACCTCTTATATAGAGTCAAAACTAGTTCTCCGAGGTTTTTATTGGTAATCTATTCCTTTTGTGTTCACTGGTATATTTTTGTGTATTGGCATTCTTAACTTATGTTGCAGGGATACATTTAGTAAAGTTAAAGATTTCATAAAAATCCATATTGGCTCTTTAGCTCTTGATTTGGAGCTTTTCTCTAAAAAATCTGGTTTTAATCAATTGTGTCCATGTCCACATTTTGACTTTGTCCATAAACACTTAATTGATGAATTTGTTTTTTTTCTTCAGGGTCATTCTAAAATTCAACAACCTTGGTAGATAAAGGTTGTTCAGATGCAAAGTAAGTTTGCTTTTTAATGGGTCAAAGTTTGACTCTTCGTCGAAGAATTTTGGTCTGGACATTTTTTCATCTTTCCTGGGTTTTTATTTGGAGGTTGGAGCAGTGGAACGACTTTTTCTGGGCTGAAGAGAACAGACGCATTGGTTACTGGTGGCCGGAGTTGTCTTGGTGTCTAGATGGGTATTTTTCATCCAAACCCGAGTGAACTTGGAAGGCTTTGCTCCTTCAAAGACGTAAACTCCCTTG